ATGAGGTATGAATCTTCATCGACTGAGATGGTTGGGCCACGTGTTACGTATGCCTGAACACCGATTATCATGACGTGCAATCCTATCCGGTACTGGAGATGGTTGGAAAAAAGTTAGGGGTGGCCACTAACTTCTAGTCTGAGCCATGTTGGTATATGCAGACTACTTGGTTGCTGTCCGCGTGACTTTCGTAACCAATGGTTGGAGACTCTTGGTGACATGGCTCAGAATCGATCACAATGCCGTCGGTGTATACACTCTTTGTCTTCCCTTAAACTAAGAGATTAAAATCACTTCATATCTTTCTTTTTACGACCAAATTCTTTCTTCTTGTACTATATCTCTAGATTCAATCTTCCTCTTACTTATTACCAACTTCGTCCTACGTTGTAGCTGACTGACTGACTGAATTAGCTGAAAATTAAGGATCTAGTCAGTTATCTATTCAAATTAACTTTCACTGAAATTCAGATAAGTTAATTTGATAGTAGTGTAAGTTGATTGCACATTACAAGTTCTCTTGTTATAGGGACATAGACTGAATTAAATTAGTATCCTCTGCAAGATTGTGTTGGTGAACACTAATTGGCTATTGCTTATTCAATCAGCACTAGTCGATACTTGGAGAACAATCTAGAATCTTCTCATTGTAAAAAACTATAAATACACTCATGTTTCTCTTATTGTACTTCCTAATTCCATCTACCCTTACTATTTGGAATATAATTTCCATGCTGATCAATCGTGTTCTGATTTGAGGACTTGTCAAGTGAATCGATGTCCAATAATACTAAGCAATCCCAATAGCTGAGTTGTAATAAGAGAGAATTATAACATGGCATAGAAAAGGGGCTTCCTGTGATCTTGTGGGAACTGGTGCTCCTTGGCGGATGAGATCTTGTGTCACCCAGCTTCACAGTTACAGATGTTAACACTGAGCTACCCGAGCCACGACCGACCTCCTGTGGGACTGAGATATAATCACAACTGATTGATCACTGGGTGGTGATCAATGTCATACGTGTCTAGTCCTTATTAGTGCAGATCGAATGCTATCGATCATGTTGCAATGTGGGTGACACGAAATCGAATCCGTCAGGGAGCACCAGTTCCCTCAAGATTACAGGTACACCTTGCTGACGAGTGCCAAGTAGCACGATACTCGGTTCCAAGGTTTCCTGTCGACTACCTCCAATCACCATCTAATCTCAATATATAGCGCCCACAGTGTCGAGTCACCTAGACTGGTGGCCATATTGCAACATGATCGATAGCATTCGATCTGTACTAAATAAGGACTTGACACGCATGACATTGATCACCACCCAGTGATCAATCAATTGTGAAAGGAGGTTTCCATTTGTAATGAACAATTAAATAAATGATCATTTTTATTTACAAACAATACAATTTTAACATATTTACGTAATGATAGAACTAAAAATTCAATATTATTTTGTTAACACAAAACATTGTCTAATTTAGAAAGATGTGTAATTTTGACCTTGCAACACAAATACCCTGATACGGTCGAGGATGTGGGGTGTCTAACCTCTCTTTCAAAATACTCTCTCATATACATACATGAACAGTCACTGTCAGGGAAGTCCATCCTACTGCCTTCTAGCATTAGGGGTGTTATTTACAAAATTGTGAGGACGAAATGTGATTATCCTGAGCAGTAATCGGGTTGGTGAGGATGGTGGTGGTGACAGAACTAAAAATTCGATATTATTTTGTTCACACAAAACATTGTCTAATTTACAAACATGTGTAATTTTGACCTTGCACCACAAAAACCCTGGTACAGTCGAGAGTGGACGGTGTCTACCTTCTCTTTCAAAATGCTCGCCTATGTACACACATATACAACCACTATCAGGGAAGTTCACCTCACTGCATACTAACAGCATGGGTATTGTTTATCAAATTGAGGTAACAGAAAGAGAATGTCCGACGCATTATCCAGGTTGCTGATGGCAGTGACAGAAATAAAACGTTTAATATATTTTTTTTTTGTTAACTTTATTCTTGGTAACACCATAGTTATACAGAATAGCTGTACAGAATGACATTTACTAGTTTCCTTTTACTTCTTCTTCTCCTTCGTCATTCAAATGGTAGCTAATTGTTTGAATCATTCCATTTAATTATAATATAATTTTAAATATGCTAATTTTCTTTGATATCGTTTACATTCAGTCGTTGTATTAAGCTAAAAGGTAGAAAAAAAAAATAGTTTGTTTATGATAAGGATCACAATCATGATCATGATGATCGTGATCATGTACATGATCATAACTAACTTACTTTATCTGTATTCATTAATATTGTACTATTGTATTGAATTTTAGGCAGATTCACAGGATGTAACATGGTATCCATTTGCCATTGTATATGTTGAGCTAATTGTTTAGTTACATTATAGGTACCAACACTTTTATTTTTGGTCAATTTCATGTAACAAATAACAAGTGAACATTGTTTCCAGGTAGAAACAAACAAACAAAAAAGAAGAACAAAAAGAAAAACAAAAGCCGATTACACTTGAACAATATTGATTGATTCATGATTGCAGAATTCTGAATGTAGTATAAGGTATAGAAAAAGTGCACATGATTGCCGCAGGCGGTGGGGTTAGGAGGTGAAAGAACATTAAGAACATAAGCTGAATAAGAAATATTCACTTTGTTGTCATAGCAACAAATAACATTACTCATTAATTATGTAACTAAATTTTAACTTTTCCACCAAAAATAAAAATACTGTCTATGGAAGATAACGTTGATATTCAATAAATGTATAGTGCTTATGTTTCTTAACCTTAGTACTGTAGTCAATGAGAAGACACATGTGGGGGACAATCAAATGTGTTTGAAAACACAGATTACAGAATCACTTAATAAAATCTGAGAATTATACAGTAAATACTTCATCTACAAAATGTCAATCAATTGCCCTAGAAATCACTGTTCCTTCACTACCATTTCAATGACTTTCTGTTCCTGTTCTTTCCTGCTTGATCTTCTGCTGCCGTATATTCTATTCTTGATCAGCGTTATATATACTACTTATGTTGATATAAGTAGCACAACACAGTACTATTTTATCACATACCGACAGATTGCCTATAATCATATCTATCTGTTGTATCAAATCCATATACTAGAGACATAAATGCTTGAGACAAATCGGATATCTAATGATAGTAGGATTGTTATCATGACTGTTATTCTGTTATTTTTGGTTATATCACTCACAATAGTGCACTGGCTAAGTGATTAATGAAGAAGTGAACAATAACTAACATGTTGAGATTAGATGGTAGTTGGAGGTAGTCGACAGGAAACCTGGGTCGAGTCACCTAGACTGGTGGCCACATTGCAACATGATCGATAGCATTCGATCTGCATTAATAAGGACTAGAGACGCATGACATTGATCGCCACACAGTGATCAATTAATTGTGATAACTAACATGTTTCGTCCATTAAGATGTTTTAAAAACTAAATATTAGTAACTGAGTCTAAGTGTACTATAGACGATCATTCTGATGACAGATCTCATCTTAACTATTCACAGAAAACTAAGTAAATCGTTATGAAAACAGGGCAGTATAGCACTTTGTTGAATGATTTTATTCGTTGCATACAAGTGGTTAAATCTTAAAAATGTAAGTGTTAACTTTTGTCAACTAACAGATTGGTCACTTTGAATATGTCAATTAGCAGAACATAGAATGGAGCATTATGTTGGAGTACAATGCCTAATCCATTTTTAATCAATCAACAATGAGAATTAATTGAAGAATCTTCTCAAGTAATGTTATAAATATACTAGTGTTGCTCATATTGTGACTGTGTAATTGTACATTTTGCACAATTATTTTCTCTAAGACAATGAATCCGTCAATAGAGAAACGAATGTACACATCAATAAACGAATCGTTCCTTGATTGTTAGTGTTATGACTTTTAAATATGGTCTCAATAATAGAACGATTAGATGTTTGAGGTGGGACATGAAGGTCCTATGTTCTACCGTCCTTGGAGTCACCATATACTAGGACGAAATAGCTCCGTTAAACGGTATCACCTTATTTAGCTAATACAACTCTTCATTCATATTTGACCAACCTCGCATGTCGAAACATGCAAACTTCTATGCATACTATGAACTATAAAGTAGTATGGGTTAGCATTATGTTATTTTGGTCATGTCTTAGTTTCAAGTATCCATAGATCAATGAAAACCTATTCATAGGAGCAAAACGATTTTTTTATTTACCCAACAGTTGATGCACCGATTAGTGATTTATCTGTTCTACGTGTGGACTGATTAAATGGTATTTTATTTGGTTTGACCGACAAAGATTTGTTCACAAAATCTTGATAAGCTCCTGGATCTGGAAAATCTGAATTCTAGAATCAAAAACAAAATAAATAGGAAACACGTTTATAAACACTTTACCATAGATAAAAGTATAGTTATTATAAAAGCATCATTCATCATATAGCTCTTGGATTAACAAATTGAAAAACAGAGCTTTGAGTAGTTCAAATTACTAACTTAGATATTCATAATGTATGTTACAGGGTTATCATAAAAGTATTAGAAAAAGGTTTTGTCAACAGCCTTAACTTCATTTAAGAATAACATCTCAATGACTTGACAATTACTTGCAACGATTAGTAACCTCTGACAAAATCTGATTATCTAAAATGAAACCAAGTGGCACTTCATTGTCATGTAGTACACTTTATTGTAAAGTTTGAAAGTTTTTTCAAGAGTATTTCCGATGTTCGGGATAAATACTAACTGTTGTCATTTTGACGTAATCTCATATTGATAATTTACTAATGAGGGTGATAATGAAAGATAGTGAAAGTGATAAACAAATACAACAATCAGTTTTTCTGGGAATACATATTTACAAGGTTCAGTGTAAATGTCATATCGAAACGATACGAATACATTTCAATATCCGTTCGGTTATTTCTTCTGGTCTGATTGCGTTAAACTTTACTTTTGGATGCATTTTCTGAATTGTTTATAATGTATTGCTTCTTCAATGACCAGTCTCATTCTAATCTTTAATAGTTCTGTTCCAAACATCAGTTAAACCAAAATATCAGAAAAAAGGTAGCAACCCCCTCGTTTTAAAACGATTAGGTTATAATATGTTTCTCTAAGTCTTTTATGACAGGATCTGTTGAATGATGTGTGTATTTTCATGCTGTTTATAATTCTATAGTGGCAATCATGCCATCTACATTAATCCAGTTTCCATTTTATTTCCTGTGAGTTATTACTTTGCAACTGTATGTTATTGAATTTTAATAATCAAATATGAGTTCACTTGGTGAGTGATAGCCCTAGAATATAGGTTTTAGGAGTTATTTACTTTATTCCATCCCTTGATCAAAAGTGAGTTGGAGTTTGAATCTCCTGTCAACTTGTTCGAAGTCTGTATTCGAAACACTGGCAAAGGAACAATACTAACTATCCGTAAAATATTATGTGCAGCAATTGTTTCTCCCTCTCTTAAAGGTCATTAATAGGTGCCATGGGTTTTCAAACGTGATATGATGTGTTTCAATAAGCCAAGAAAACAAATAAAAACGATTATTTTGGATTTACTAGCATCATCCAAATAAAGTAAAATGTCGTCAACATTTTAAGATATAAGTCTTTCAAAGGAATAATACTTGAATAGCATTGAAGTTCTTTGATAATCATCACTCTCTTGTGATAAGATCACACTATCTTTACACATTTCGAGAAAGTTGACAGGATATTTGTGGTGGTATTGCATTTCAAATTTTTTACAATTAAGTTATCTCAGAGTGTGGATTTGTATCGTACCAATAAGTCAGCCTCGTCTAATTAGTCATCACATCTAGTAATGATAATGAAGTTTTGATCCAAACATTGATGGCCAATATTTTTTCAGACTTACTGTCAAATTTTCGTTTCTGACATAGAACCACATCAAGGCATTCCTAATCCTCGGAGAAAGCTTATTACAAAATAGCACCATGATAATAATGCTTCCAGACTAACTTTGCATGAGTCGTGTATAACTCGTTTTTCAAGTCATTGTGAGTAGAAAACCTTAGTAATATAGTAAAGTACAAAGCTAAAAGATTAAAACAATGATACTCCATTCGCAAGTATGTATAATATTTTGTGAATTCAATACTTACACATAAGTGATTATTCATTCTACGCGCTGTTCTAGCTCCTAATATATACCCACGAGTACTGATAATCTTCTTGTTGAACTTGTTAGCCATTGAAGTCTATAACAAACTCAATTAAAACATTCTCAACTTATTAAATTCACTTCAATGTCATAGGTTGTCGGTCCAACAAATCCATTCCCATTTATTGGTGCCAGTGTTATACCAGACGATGATGAGGTATAGCTTCTGGATAGAGAGATCGTTCCTGACATGAGCCAAATGCATACGGCGTTTTTGTTTCCGCTAGAACTGCTACAATCGAAAAAGCGTTATGCTGTAGAACGATGTACGTAAATGACTGATCGTCTTTTTAGTACTAATCCATCGTGAGTTGCTTATAACACCTGGTAAACTGCCAAGTTGACATGATTACAATCGCAATTAGTTTAATTACACACTCGTTTTATTATATTCTCTTTTTGTTTGACAACTACAACACAAATCTTCGAAAACTCGTAAAATCAGTCCATTAGCCAGAAACTGAGTTTTAATTACTTTTCGACGAATCCGCGATCGAAACCCTCAACGACTGGTTCTCTCACTTCAGTAGATGAGCACAGCTTCTTACATAGGACTAATACGAAACACATTGGATAAGCTAACAAAATTCGAAATTAAAATCAGATGAAAGTATTGTAGCGGTAAATAAATCCCTAAAATAAATAGCTCTGTAAGTTTTCGACATTGGATGCTGACCATATGTTTTAGTGGACTCATCTAGCTGAAGGCGCTCGGTCAGGCATCCGCACCAGATCACGTGTAGTAACGCCGTGCTCAACATCAACCACAATCGCTAGCCAGATTAGATCAGAGAATCCCGGTATATTGGTCATCGCCAAATATACTCTTCCGATCTCCTCGACTCTGTCTTTTGATTTCTCTTGGTGGGAACGAAATATCTTAGAAGGTGTTACTGGTAGAAGCGTTGTCAAACACTGAATACCTGTGACATCATCATTGGTGAGACCGTCGTGATCTGGTACACCTTATTGCAACTGTGAGTCTGTTCCTTTTTGGGATTTTTATATATCATTGCCTTATTTTTTATTTTTTTTAAACATTGTGATTTTTTTTCGTGTTTTTCTTGGATATATATATATATTTTCCCCTCGTTCATTATCGTACTTCATATTTCATCATGACTGAACAGACACCTAAAGTACTCAAGCTTAAGACCTTGTCCCCACCTTCGTTTCAACTGATGCCTTTCTGGCCCGACAACATCGAAGCCTGGTTTTGCTACGCAGAAGCCGACTTTTCCGAGCACGGCGTGATCGACACACGTGCACAATTCCTCGCAGTAGTCAAGGCACTGCCGCGGGAATTCAACAGGTACGTAACACCTAGTATGTTTACTAGTGATGTTTCCGATCCTTACGAAATCTTAAAACGCTCGATTCTTAAACGAGGAGACCTAACCGATCGACAAAGGTTAGATCAACTCTTCAACAATATCGACCTGCAACACGGTTCTGCGACGGACATGTTGCAACGGATGAGAGAGGTTATAGGCCCAAGAACTTTCGACGAAGGTCTATTCAAACAACTCTTCTTGTCAAAACTTCCCCAACAGGTGCAAGCAGTTCTGGTCTCGTTCCAGAACAACGCCTTAGACGAACTAGCTGTATCTGCCGACCGCATTCTAGAAATTACGAAACCTTCTACTACCGAGGTATTTTCAGTCAAAGAAAAGCCTCACACGACTCAGAATGACATAACCGACTTATGTCACACACTCACGCGTTATCTTAGTCTTCGTACCGACCGTAAGAGATCGCGCACACCACGTAGAAGCATTTCTCGTAAGCGATCTGTCTCTAGACCACGAGAGACAGATAACCCCGACTGGTGCTGGTATCATAACCAGTATGGAAAGTTTTCCAGAAATTGCAGAAAACCCTGCAATTTTCCCAACACGAAACCGACTGATTCGGGAAACTTCCAAGCCGGCACGCGTTAACGGCAACCGTAGCCGGCGAACAAAGCCGTCTGTTATTCGTCACAGATGTGACAACGAGAGTTCGCTACCTCGTCGACACTGGCGCAGAAGTTAGCGTTCTCCCAGCAAATCCTAACGACCGACTTCACGAATCGACCCTAAACTTACAGGCGGCAAACGGAAAACCGATCGCTACGTATGGCAAAAGGTACGTTTACCTTAACGTGGGTTTACGCAAACCCATCCACTGGATTTTCGTCGTTGCAGATGTTTCTATGCCAATCATTGGTATGGACCTTCTACAACACCACAATCTGATCATCGACACTCGCAAACGGAGGCTAGTAGACGGAAACACTAATTTGTCCGTTTGCGTAACTTCTTTTACTGGTTGTAGAGTATCCCCAGTCACAGTTAAACATATGATAGACCCACTCTATCAACCACTACTCGATAAGTACCCTGGGATACAACAAACTCAACGAAACTACCGTGTGTAACCAGCAATGTTACACATCACATCACGACTACAGGACCACCTGTATTTTCTAAAGCACGACGACTAGCTCCTGAAAAGCTAAGGTTAGCGAAAAACGAATTCGATCACATGATGGACTTAGGAATCATACGACCGTCAAGTAGCCCATATGCATCTCCGTTGCACATGGTCCCTAAAAAGGACAGCAACGATTGGCGTCCAACTGGTGACTATCGGCGATTGAACGCGAAAACCATTCCCGATCGTTACCCGTTGCCTCACATTCACGATTTGACAGCTACCTTGAAAGGTACAACTGTCTTTTCGAAAATCGACTTGGTTAAAGCGTATAACCAAATCCCTATGGCTACTGACGACATACCGAAAACGGCTATCATAACTCCCTTCGGACTCTATGAATTTTTGCGAATGCCTTTCGGTCTAAGGAATGCTGCTCAAACATTCCAAAGATTCATAGACGACGTTTTTCGAGGTCTCAACTTCGTACACGCGTATGTTGACGACTGTCTAATCGCAAGTCCGGACAGAGAAACACATCTCAAGCATCTGGACCTTGTTTTCGAACGATTACAAAAACATGGCATAACTGTAAACGTTCAGAAATGCCAATTTGGAACCGACTCGTTAGACTTTCTGGGACACACTATCGATGCTCAAGGTATCCGACCCCTTAGAACCAAAGTGGCGGCCATTCTGGATTACCCAGAACCGACCACCGTCAAGCAATTACGCACGTTCAACGGCCTGGTAAGTTTCTATAGACGTTTCATACCCAGATGCGCATCACTTATGAAACCTCTGACCGACCAACTTCGTGGAAATGCGAAATCCATTAATTTGGACGACACCGCACGAAAAGCATTCTCCACAGTTAAGGAACTGATTGCTAAAGCAACAATGCTCGCACATCAGGACACCCGAGCACCCATTAGCATCGCAGTAGACGCATCCGACTCAGCAATCGGAGGAGTCTTACAACAATGGGTTAACAACTCCTGGCAACCCTTGGCATTTTTCTCTAGAAGGTTGCTAGACACCGAATCGAGGTACAGCACATTCGGTAGGGAACTCCTAGCTATGTATTGTGCTGTACGGCATTTCCAACACTATATCGAAGGCCGTGAATTCACTCTTTTCACGGACCATAAACCGCTCACTTTCTCGTTAAGCTCTCCTTCTGACAAGTACTCTCCCCGTGAGTCTCGACAACTGGACTACATTTCGCAGTTTACTTCAGATATTCAACACATCTCTGGAGCAAACAATGTAGTTGCAGACGCTTTATCTCGCATAACTTCCTTGAACAGTTTCCAAGGAATCGACCTTCTTAAACTCGCCGAGCTTCAAAAGGAAGACAGTGATCTTCAGCACGAGTTATCGTCCACAACACTTAAACTACGCATCAAACAGATGGAAACAGGTAAGGAAACCTTTCTTTGTGACACATCTACAGGTAGGGATCGCCCAATCGTGCCGAAACATTATCGACGCAATGTCTTCAACACATTGCACAAACTTTCTCATCCAGGTGTTCGTGCAACCATCAAGCTTATAGCAGAACGCTTTGGCTGGCCTGGCATGAATAGAGACGGGTGTGTGTGGGCACGCCCCTGTGTAAGGTGCCAAAAATCTAAGGTTATCAGACACAATAAATGTCCCTTAGGCTCGTTTAAAACGCCCGATGCTCGTTTCGACCATGTTCATCTGGACTTGGTAGGACCTTTACCGGATTCAAATGGATACTCCTATCTCTTAACCTGCGAAGCCCGTTTCACTCGATGGCCAGAAGCAGTACCTATCAAGGACAGCACTGCTGAAACAGTGGCCCGCACATTCGTCGAACGATGGTTAGCAATCTTCGGTTGCCCTACAACCATCACTACAGACCGCGGACGTCAGTTTGAATCTGATCTTTTCCGTCGTCTGACCACACTTTTAGGAATCACTCGCTTCCGAACGACCGCCTACCATCCCAAGCAAACGGGTTTGTAGAACGTTTTCACCGACAACTGAAAGCTTCGCTATCAGCTGCAATCGTTTCACAATGGACCGACGCTCTTCCACTCGTCTTACTAGGTATCCGCAATGCAGTGAAAGCTGACATTGGATACACTGCGGCTCAACTCGTTTATGGAACGACACTTCGACTTCCAGGAGAATTCGTGGATCCTTCGTGCTCTTCGATGAACATGGATCTAACCTCCTACACGAACAGGCTTACAAACGCAATGCGTTCAGTTAAACCTGCTTCCACTCGACCTCAATCAACTGATGTTTTCGTTCAACCTGACTTACATATAGTACACACGTTTTCATTCGTCGAGACTCGCATCGACGACCATTCGAATCAGCATACGAAGGACCCTTCAAAGTTCTTCAACTTGAATCTAAGTACTATATAGTCGATAAGAACGGAACCAACGATAGCATCAGCATCGATCGCTTAAAAGCAGCGTATTTAGAAGGAAATCCTATCTACGTAGATTTTCCTTCGGTACAATCGAACGACACGACTCAGACACTAATAATACCTCATCCGACAACCAACGCACACGAAGATACTTCGACAGTATCCGAAAATAAACTTAAAACGACGCGTTCTGGATGAAGGTTGAGATTTCCAGAACATTTAAACGACTATTGCACGTAAGGCACTTCTCGACATTTTATATTATATTTTTTTGAAAAAAAAACAATTTTCATATGCTTATATATTTTTATTTCTATTAAAAAAACAAACAAAAAAAACAATTTTTTAA